TTATTTATTTTAACATGGTCAGGCTCGGGGGAGAGCAAACGGAATGGAATTTGAAGGAGAATTGTATGGCATTCTGGAATGGCACTCAGTGGCTGGAAGGCTACTTCTGGCTGTGTAACTCATTAGTGACATGACCTTGGACAAGACATCCCACTTGAGCCTTGACATCTTCAACTAAAAGGAAGGGTTGGGTCCAAGTACCCTGCAATGTCTGTTCTTTGCTGTGACTCATTGGGTTTCAATATTTGCCACTCCTTCCACACTCCCATGAAAGAATCATTGTCTTTAGGCATCAACTTAGTTTATGTGAGAATGTTACCTTACATTTGGTAGGACTTCGTCATTTTCAGAGTCCTCTCATCTCCACTATCTCATTTGATTTTAACCAGCCACATAAAGTATTGAAGATATTAATTATTTTATATCTCACAAAATGTTAAACTTGCCTAAGGCCATAATGCAGTACAAAAGGGAATGACACTTGTATATCCTGACTCTGTGTGGCACGCTTAATTGGATAGAATCTGTTCAATGTAGAAGTGGAACAAATTTTTTAACCACTAGAGTAGTGGTAACTACTTTTTTTTTTTTTTAATATTATGGACTGTTTTTGAAATGCTGAAATCCAAAGCATCTTTTTTTTTCCCCCCAGTTAAACACTTGACTAGAAGTTGTGATGGTCAGAAAAATACTCAAGTTAACACAGTTAGAGAAAGGCAGCACAGCAGGAATCAACTATCATATGGACAGGAGGCAAGGTGGTCTTCTTAATAATTGAAAAAGTATCCCAACGTTGCAGGATATACCAAGGTTGCAGGTTCAATCCTTGGTCAGGGCATATATAAGAAGCAACCAATGAATGCATAATAAGTGGAACAACAAAATGATGTTTGTTTCTCTCCCTTTCTCTCTCTCTAAAAAAGCCAATAACTAATAAAAAAATTTTTTTTTAAAGGAAAAAGTATCCAGAAGCATTTCTTCCTAGGACTGAATTGTCCTGGGAACTTCCCAAATCATTCTGTTTTATCTGAAGAGCAGTGTCCTCTGCTTACGCTTGGTTCTTGTTTCCGCATAACCATGGGTCTCACGTGGATTGGCTTCCTGGCACTAGCTCTGGCCAGCTGACCCCAACATGTCAGATCCATCACTTACCATAGACTCTTATTTATTTATATTTAAAAAAAATATTTTTATTGATTTCAGAGAGTGGAAGGGAGAGGGAGAGACAGAAACAACAATGATGAGGATCATTGATCGGCTGCCTCCAGCATGCCCCACACTGGGGACAGAGCCTGCAACCCGGGCATGTTCCCTGACCAGGATTCCAACCGTGACCTCCTGGTTCATAGGTCAATGCTCAACTATTAAGCCACACCAGCTGGGCAAGACTCTTTTAGTTCCTGTGGTTCAATCAGCTGTAGCTGGTGGGGCTCGGACTCGTGTGGCACTCACATCAAGTTCTACCTCTATATCAGGATTTATGGAGAGGTTTCTAGGGAAGGTAGTCTAGATGGAGCAAGAATCCCCAAACATGTCTATTACATTTTCCTTTATAAAGTTTCACATAATTCTATTGACTTTGTTTCTAGGGCGACTCCCATCTTTATAAGTATACCTATTCTTCTGATAGTTCATTAAAAGAACACCCAAATTTGCTCCTTACTTTAAAATAAGAAATGTAGTTTCATGGTTTTCTGATCGTAGAATGCAGTTAAAAAAAATTACTAGCCATCAATTGGGTGCTTTAGGTCCCAGGCCTGATCCTATCATTGATTTCTGGACAGATCATTTATTTCCCCTTGAAATTCAGGAGAAGGGGTGTGTGTTAAAATCTAAAAAGTAGAAGGCATTTTATGGGATTATTTCATCTAGCCTCTGCATTTTTCTGTAAAAGACAATGACATCAAGCCTTAGGTCACAGAGCTGATTAAAGAGGTAGAGCCAGTGGAATATTTCTCCTAAACAAACATTTATGGTCTTTTTATTACATCATCTCAGTAGAGCCTGTAGAGGCTTATGCTGAGAATCAGAGATAATGCTTTTGATTGATAATGCAGCATAAAGTAGTGTCTAAATGTAAAAATGTTATTTTAAGATGAGAACATGGAAAGAAACCAGAACACAGGAATCTTCCCAATGTGTCAACAGACAGGAAACAAAGTATAAATGCCCTAATTCTTGTTCCCTAAAAACTTACATATAAACAAAAGATCTTGAAAATTAATCTTCCACAAAACTATATCAGAAAATGGAGATTAGGACATTCCTGCTGCCAGACAGTATAAGGATATAGTTGGATGTTGACTCTGATCATAGGTGGCTTGGCTTCAAAGGTGGGCTCTATTAATATAAAGTTGTATAATTTAGGTTTTTTTTTAAATCACATGTTAAACTGCTCTGGATTAAGCTACTCAACATTATGTGAACAAAAGGTCGCTGCCACCAATTTAATGCCAACAGGTGTCCAATCTAGGGTGCAGAAAGAAAATAAACTATTCAAAAATTCAGTTTCCAAACTGGGAAAGCAGCCTCAGTAGGAAACCAAAAGTGCATTCCATGGAGATGAAGGTGAGTCCACTCTTTAGAAAGTCCCACCCTAGTCCCTGATTGGTCCATTTTTAAGCAAATGAGGATTCCAAGTTTGCACAGTCTGATTGGTCCAAATAACACTGTCCTTTGGTTGGTCAGGATAGCATATTCTGAATAGTCTTTTAGGAGCTGCTCTGATTGGTCAGTAAAGATGCAAATGAGGGTATAACTATCATTCTGATTGGATGGGGCATCTGTCAGCCCATTGGTTGATACAGATACAGGGATTCCTTTATAAGGTTGGACTCAGCCTGCAGGAATACAGTGCAGGAAGGACGCCACCAACTCAGTCTGTGGCTGTCCCTGAAATGCATAGCGTGTGAGAGGTCTCTGTCAGCAACTGCTAGAGATTTCGGGCCAAATTAACTGTAAGAAAAACCTCCCCTGAAAATCCGATGGACTAGATTAGAGCTATCAGTTGGTTTAGCAAGGAATTATAGATGGAAAGGAATGATTTTAGTGGTTGCTCCATCTTTAACTTCATTCTTAGGAACTCTTAAAGTGGGTATTCTTTGCATTTCACAGGCTAGAAAACACACTAGAGACGGTAATTGCTTGGCAAGAACTAGAAGTTGATTCAGTAGTGCTTCCTGGTACAAACTCAATCTGAGTCCACAACGCAGTAAATGAAGGTCTTTCCCAAGTGGAGGCTTCCGAGCCCTGCAAAGTCCTCACTTCCCGGGGGCCTGGAGGGAGAGAGTGTGCGGGTGGCGCAGGAGGCGAGGACCCACATGCCTCTTCAGGCCCAGGAGCTACAGCGTGGCTCAGGGGACTTTTCCCAGGACGCGCAGGTCTCCCGAAGTCAGGTCGGGTTTCACGCGGCCAGAGCACCGGGCTGGAGGCTTCCCCCGTCGGGGAGGCGGGCGCGGCCTCCGTGGAGCCCCCCTCCGGGTGAGCCAGGGGAGCTGACTCCCTTGGAAGTCTGGGTTTCAGTCCTTAATTTAGAAACTCCACTTCTGAGTGAACGGAAGGCCCAGGAAGGGGACCAAGAAGAAGTACGGAAGGACGAGGGGCCGGCTCACGGCCCCGGCCTCGGGAGCCCTTGCATTTCGGCCCCCAGCGCGACGCCCGCCCCCCGGTTCGAGAGGAGGCGTGGCCCGCGGGAGCCGCCATCTTGGGCGCCGCTCTAGGCGCGGTGTTTACCTCTCGATGGTCTCCCGCTCCCGCCCCGCCCTCCCGAGTCATTGTCTGGAGGAGCAGCCGCGGCCGCGGCGCCTTCTCTTTATAAGCCCGCAGTGCCCGGATGTGAATGGATTACAATGTATCTTTCAGGGGAACCTATTATCATCAATGTGACTCCACGGGGGAGTCCATGGTGATGGTGATGAGGAGGAGGAGGAGGATGATGAGACACTTCTAAACTTGGAACAAGTTTAAGACTTGATGAGAGGAGAAGAGAAAAAAACCCACCACCACCAAGATTGGTTTGAGGAAAAATGATAACTATCCTGTATTGATTTTTTTGTAAACAATAAGAAAAAGTTGTTGGATTTTTTTTTTTAATGATTTCTTTTTTGGGGGAGGGGATTTTGTTGCAGTTTTATGGTGGAAAATGCAAAAACCACAGCCAGGTGCATAGTCTTGTATTCTGTGGATATCCCTGGAGCAGGACTGAGTGCCAGTTAAAGTACTTTTTTGGGGGACACACATGTGAGATACTAAGTACTTGCAGAAGATTTTTGTTTCTCTTTTTAAAGTCACTTTCCTTGGAATATTGTGAGCATATTTGTGGCCATTTAAGGTAACGTTACAATTTGCTGTCAGAGTAAACTGTTATTGAATTTAATTTTTAAAATATCGATCCCAATGTTTTATTAAAACAAAAGGAACCTATTAAATAATTGCCAATGGGAAAAAAAATGTGTGCATGTTGTGTACGTATTCCCACATATAGCAATAAAGGGTTTTGCAGAATGTGTATTTTAACACGTTACAATTGCGTATGTTGCATATACTGGATAAAGCACGCTTGCAATTCTGAACCGATAGAATTAGGAAGCTTAATTTCTATCCTAAAAAAGTGATGTAGAAAAGTATGTTTTAAGAGCATGCAGGGCCTGTAATGGTAAATGCTGAAATTAAAAACTTACAGTGCTGGCGAACGGGGACCTAGCGTGCCTAGGAACTCAAGTGTAAAAACAAAACAACATCCCCCTTCAAAAATTGCCTCTTTTTTTTTTTTTTTCTCTTTTTGGCAAAGTTTGCAGCTATACTATTTTGTGACTTAAAAGGGAGGGGAAAGAAAGTATGCAATTAAGGCTTCGCCCCCAACGCAAAACTACCGAAATGAGAATCTCCCCAGCAAACGGTGGCTCGGTTTATAGATGGAAAAGAAAAATATCGTTCCTCTTGGCCAAGTCTTTTTGCATCACGTGTATTTGCAGCCTAGTATAAACTTGCTTTGCCGTGTGTAGACGTGTGAGCGAGAGGGGACGGGAGTCGGGGAAAGAAAGAAGTGCGGAGACGTAAACTCGAATACATTTCAAAGTGCCTCCGAGGGCAGAAACGGGCAAAACCCGTACACTGTTCAGTCTTCAGATTGTAATTGACGATCTGAGGGGCGATGAGGTGCTCGATGGATTTTCGTTTGTGTTTCTTCGCGAGGCGGGGGGAGGTGTTGAGATTCTTTTTTTTTTTCCAGCGGGGGGTGGGGGGGGGGTGCATCCCAACCAGCCCGATCCGCGGACCGGCGTCTCCCCGGAGCCCCCACCATTCTTTGCTGACTTGCATTTCGGCGCCTCGCGTGGTCCCCCTCCCTTTCCGGTCCCCTTCCTCCCGGAGAAGAGATTGGGGGTTAAAAAGCAGGAAACTTGGCTGTTGTCTGCGGATCGTAATGGCGCAGCGGCGGCGGAGCCGGGCCAGAAGCAGAAGCGCCGGGAAAGAAGGCGGTGGCGGCGGCGGCCGTGGTTAGACATGAACGCCGCCTCGGCGCCGGCGCTGCACCGGGAGCCCCTTCTCGCGCGCGGGCGGTAGGTACCGGCGCCGGCGGGCTCGGCGGGGCTGCTGCGCCGAGAAGGCGCGGGGCTCGGGCTGGGCGGCCCCGCACGCGGCTCCGCGCCTCCCGTGCCGCGGGCTCCTGGCTCCCGGCGCTCCCAGCAGAGACACCCCTTCCCCTCCCGCGCCTCTTCCCTCCCCCTCGCCGCGGCCCCCCTCCCCGCCTCCCCTCCCCAGCCCTGCCGCTCGGAGGGACGGAGGACTTTGCCAAGGGCCTGACTTTAATTTTTTGCCATCCTTTCTTTCACAAATTAGGGTGCTGGACAATTACAGGACCCGACCCTCCACTCTGCTCGCCACCCCCCCCCCTTCCTCCGACCCTGTCACCCCTCCCCCTTTGGCCGTGTTTTCACTCCAGAGACGCTCATCTTTAATTTCTTTATAGCTACTTTGAAATGCGGAGGGGAGTGGTGTGTGTGAGTGTGTGCGTGCGTGTGTGTGAGTGTGTGCGAGGGGGTGGGATGGAGGGTGGGGGGAAAGTTGAGACCGGCTCGTTCTCAGTAGTTTCTCTTTTCTCTATGATCCATTCATTTCTCGCTCTACCTCCTGTTGCATAAAATGATGCGCTGAAGAGCGGCTCTTTTTTTTTTTTTTTTTGTACTTCCCGGATTTGGTTTTATAGTGGATGTTACCAGTTTTGATCGTCTCTTTGGAAATACAGTATCAATATCGCTTTTTTTTTTTTTTGCTATTGCTGCCTATTCCATCTTTAAAAAAACAAAACAAAACAACTCTCCCATCCCTCCCTCCTTTCCACCTTAATCCTACCCGCCCCCACACCCTCACCCCCAATCCCCCCAGTCTCCAAAAATCCGATTGTGTTTTCTCCCAAGGATTGGGACTGGATTTTCTGATTGCGGTTATTTCCATGTTTCTAGGTTTGTGTGATTTTGCTAAAATGCATCACCAACAGCGAATGGCTGCCTTAGGGACGGACAAAGAGCTGAGTGATTTACTGGATTTCAGTGCGGTAAGAAAGAACGGTGGAAACTAACAACAGCTGTGAAAACAAAACAAAACAAAACAAAAAACCCAAACACTGAGCTAGAAACCAATAGCAATCTAAAGGACAGAAATAATTTCTAATTGGCTGAATCCTCAGTAAAATGAAGGTGTTTATGATAAGTTTCAACTACAATTTTTGGGTGTGATGAACGATTCAGGCTTTTTTTTTTTCCCCAGAGTCTAATAACTTGCCTTGAATTCCGTACCCACAAATCCCCCAGAATAATTGAATCTCACCCCAATGGAAAGGAAAAACAGACACCCCTAACATGGCAAATCACCCCTAAAACTTGGCCTTCAGTGAACCCTGGAAGTACTAATACTTGGAGCACTACTCATTTTATTTATTTACTTATTTTTCCTGGAAATGGAAAAGAGAAAATAGGAGACCCCGTTGTCTCTTAAAGTTTTAAACTGATGATGCTTTGGATGAGTAGGACCTGTAGTTACCTAGTTACTTTTTTCCCCCTGGGATTCTGAACACTCATGTATGTATCGAGCGTACATTCTTTAGGACCCTTTATACTGTTTTTATACATGTCATAGTTATGAGATCAGTACAAAGAAGAACTTACACACTTGTGGAGTTTATAGCTTTACTTGGTCCTTCTCCATCCCTTTGCTTCCCTTTCCCAAACCAAGTCTCACTCATGTCAGGGGAATTGATTTTCAGTGGCAGATGAGTTTGGTGTAAGATGCATTTGCAAAGCAAAATGAAAAGAATCCACAAAACACATAAATAAAATCCAAACCACCTTGTAAGTGGGGCTCTTTCATGTTGCTGCTGCTACTGCTGCCGCTGCTGCCCCTGCTGCTGCTGCTGCTGCTGCTGTGCTGCTGCTCTTCTAGACCTTCTTTTGGAGAAATGGCTTTCGGAAGTTTTGCCAGGAAACATAGCTCTAGCAGCTTCGTAGCCCCCTTTCTGCTTGCTGCACTTTCTCCATTCGTTCCTTTGCTTTTTGCAGGCTCTGACCCAGGGAAGGTGCGCATTGTCCACTAGATACGTGGAAGAAGAGGGAAACCAATTAGGGTCGAAATAAATGCTGGAGAGAAGAGGGAGTGAAAGAGAGAGAGAGTGAGAGTGAGTGTGTGTGTGTGTGTGTGTGTGTGTGTGTGTGTGTGAGAGAGAGAGAGAGAGAGAGAGAGAGAGAGAGAGTCTTCAAATTGCTCTCATGTTAGAGATGAAATGAGAATTTAGTGCAGGTGGCACTTTTATTTTTATTTGGGTTCACATATAACAGGCAAATCCTATACGGGCTGGAAATGGACATTGCCACGTTTATGGCCAAGGTTTTCATATAAAACAAACAACTTTTTTCTTCTCCTTTGTAAAACTAGTGTTTTCTAGAGAGGCTGCTGCCCTCCAAACTGAATCTTGATAACATTATGGGGACTGTGTTTGTTTAAAATGTGGTAGTACTGCCTAGTACTGGCAATCTAATGAACCTGAGGAAAAAGAAAGGAGTGGTAATGGGGGCGGAGGGGGTGATTGCCAATGTTGTGCCTGCTTTAGTTCTAAGTTGGATGGTGATGTATTTTACTAAGATGAGCCCTTAGCATAAACTCTAAGTTATATAGTGAGAGTATGAAAGATCTTTGATGAACTCTGAAGCAGCAAATGTTTTCTTTTCAACAGTAATATTTCTTTGTTTCTTTTAGATGTTTTCACCTCCTGTGAGCAGTGGGAAAAATGGACCAACTTCTTTGGCGAGTGGACATTTTACTGGCTCAAGTATGTAAATTCTTGTCTTAATGTGTAGTTAAATGTTCTTTGCTGTTTATTCACTCATTGTATATTTTTGGCTCTGTTGAAGTGTTCTGAAAAAGTCATTGAAATTTTAGTCTGTAATGATATGGTTATTTCATTATCCATCAGTGGTATAACTTACACTAAATGTCATCTTTTGCAAAATTAAAATTAGGCCTTTTTTTTTTAATCAAGGAAACTGTCTCAGAATTCCATTACTTAATTTAAAAGCAATTTTCTAATACAGTTATAATCAAACATGTGAAGATAAGGCCAATGTTAAAATGAGGGAAATAAATTAATGTTCCCTGTTTGGAAATAGAGGGGGAAAATCTCACTTTCATAAAAAGGGAAAATCCCTTGTAAATAATATCAATTTTATTAGGTTCTATGTATAATTAACCCTTTTAAAGAAATGAGTCTGTAATTTTGCAGCTGAATGCTGTGTAGTAAACCATAACTGTAAATAGCCTCTTGCTAAGCTGAGAGCTAAATATTAATTCATTTATATTTAAAATATCCTTTCTGATGCTTTAGCTGTTTCTTTCCCCTATGTATCATGTGTGCAATGAATTTTTGCTGTATTTAAAGTTGCAAATTGGGAAGAACCTCACATTTTCTAAACGAAAGGTCTTTGGGTGATGCTTAAAAAAGACGTTAGCGCTATTCACAAAGGAAACTGGGTGCGCATTGATTATCTGGCATCTAAGGAGGAGTTTTAATAGGGGACTCTCTGAAGGTCTCTTATTAAAAGTGAAAACTGAAAATATATTTAGTTAAAATGTATTTGTTATTTTGTCCACTGAATCTCATATCAAAAGGAGGCATACGTTGTTGCTGCTATTCTTTAGGTTCAACGCTTAAATCCATTTCTGCTGGTTAAACAGCTGCAGTATTTTAGTTCTGGCAGTGGTACATAACAGTACATTAGACAGAGTGCTATTCTTAAGTCAGGCTGGTAAATGTTGACATTTTTTAGCTCTGAGATGCTAGTGGAATTGTCTGTTAACTATTGAATATAATTTCACATCGCTTAAATTTCATAGCAATGAGAAATCTGTTCACCTTTGTGATTTGTGTAATTGGTATATTTTTATAAAATGAATGGCTTATACAAGTTGCTCATTTCCAAGTAAGCTACTTCTCCTTCTTCTGGCACTCATAAGTCTAAGGGAATTTTAGACTCTGTAACTTGATTTATAAAATATGAGATGCCTCCTATAGTTATATTTTATCTTTTGTTTTTTGGGGTCCACTTTGATTAAAGTACTATTCTCCATAGGTTTGTGTTTTACTGCCCTGACCCTGTGAGAGCTGATTGCCTAGTACTGGCAATCTAATGAACCTGAGGAAAAAGAAGGGAGTGTTAATGGGACTTAATTTTTTTTGTTTTAGTCTTATATCTTGGAGATCTCTGTATTCCTTATACAACTTTGAAGTAAAGGTGAACACAAGTGTCTCTTCTAGACAAATTAATTTTTCATGTTAGACATTATCCAAACAGTAGCTAACTTTATCTCTGACAATACTTTTCTTCATCATATTACTTAAGAAAATGTGTATTTACTTTAAATCTAGAAGTAGATTATGTCAGAAAAGTACAGAGATAGACTGCTTTCAAAGTCAGTGCAAAATACTCTTTTGCACTTTGTGAAAATTGACACATTTGGAGTATCTTAAGTTATGTCAGTTTAGGTATGTCTTCATAAAGTGAGGTGAATCAGAAGCATGAAATTTCTGAGTTCACATATAGATAGAGTCCTTGCTATGATGTTTATTTTAAGTGTTTATAGGGAGTATAGGCTGGACAAATATTAATGTGTATTAATACATTTTGGTAAGTGATCATATATTTAAACTTACACAGTTCTTAAGACAACTCTGTGTGTGTGTGTGTGTGTGTGTGTACACATATACATACAAGCATACATGAACTCAGACAGAGACTTCATCCTTAGTGTGATGTTATGGTATTTCTGATGAAGATGCTGTGATTATTTCAAGGTGTTGAACTTTAAGTTACATTGTACCACAGGTGTAGTTTTCTGGCCCAAATGTTGACTTGTAAAGGTAAAAATGTGTGGCTCTTTGTTTGGGGTACTGGATTGAAAATGCAAGGTATTCATCCAGTGGATATGATGGTGACTATAATATATGGGGTACAGATTGGAGTGTTGGTTTTTCTCATCTATTCAAGACATATTTGAACACAGGGCTATTAGTGAAGTAAATGGCTTATATTTCCACTCAATAAGAAATCATTTATCCACAAAGATAAAGTCTTTTTAAAGCATAACGAATTAAAAAAATCAGAAAAACTGGCCTTTAACTGGAAGGATGAATGAGGTAACTTGGGACAGAGAAATAATTTTCTAAATTTATTTCAGGTTCATTTCCATTGTCCTGAGTGATCTCAGATGTCACTTTCATGGGTAGCTTTGCAACTTGGGTCCAGGAAAAAACGATCCAAGCTATAAGTAAGCTGTTCATATTTGAAAAACCAGCTATAGCTTTTCAGTGAGTCTTGGTCATATTTCATGCTTAAAGTTCCCAGTAGCTTTTGATTTCATTAATGTAGGATGCTCCATCGTGATTTGCAATGTGAGAATGAAAATAAAGTGTGGCCATATTCCCTTTAATCTTTCATTTCACAAACATGGTTTTTCCTACCACCTTAAGAAATGGGGAGGCTGCTAGGGAGAATGGAATGTAACCTGAGCTACAGCCTGACATTCCCAGGGAGCATTTTTCACATGAAAGGCTTTTGTCAACCCAGGAAAGGACCAGCAGTTTTTGTTTGATGTTTGCAGGTGTTCAGCAGAGAGCACTAAAACAATTCAGCCATGATAGTTCAGAGCTACGATGACCTTAACTGGGAGATTGGTGGTCTCTGGAATTATTTTTAAGAAATAGTTGTAACCCATATGGTAACTTATACAAAGAGGTTTAATATCCGTTATATCATTGATCTTATAACAAACTAAAAGTATCCACATGCCTGGATAATTGGAAAATTATTCTCATTAAAACGTAGGATGGCAAAGTTACCAAAAGAAAAAAAAATGCTCCTAGAGTCTATAATTTATTGGTTAACAAGGGCTTAATTTTCTAATATAACAAAGATACTGTTTATTTGGTTACTCTGAGTCTTTTATAAGCAACAGATAAACATGCTAGCTTTAGGATCTTTTTAAAAAGTAGTTTTAAAGTTGGGCCATTAGGATTATCTATACTCCAGAACAACCCTAGTCACATCTGTTACATGTATTTACAGTTAGTCTGTGATGGATACTACATCTTCCTCCCTCAGTTTAAAAGTTGAGCTTTTTCTCCTGTAACTGTTTAGCTTTGCTTAGGTGTTCAGCATTTGTTAAAGATTGCCAAATCAATGGGTGTTTGGACAATTAAGAGCAGTAGTAAAATACACCACATCTCTGGCATGGCATTTTTTAAAGAGGAAAAACATTTCTTGATATTCATACAAGTTAGTTAGCCTTTATCCACATGACACCAAAACAACCCATCAATTTAGTGAATTCAGGGAGAAAAAAACGAATCCAGGGGGTAGTACTGTACCACAGAAAAAATTCAATGGTCAGCATCCTGAATTGATTTCCACTAGTTTGAATTCAAGGTTATGGCATGAAGAAAAATTGGCCTCCCCTTAAAAGTGTTTGTTGAGTAGAGTTAAGTGTGTGTGTGTGTGTGTGTGTGTGTGTGTGTGTGTTTTAAAACAACCTTACTATTACAGTGCAAGTCATAATGGTTGCATGTTTTTTTTTTTTGTAAAGAGCAGAGTAATTTACTAGGTTAATAAGTAAAGTGGTATTAAACCCATTATGTTAGAATCATGGGATATAGGAGATAGAAACCGCTTAGCTTTATACAACCAAAGAAAACTGAGGCTCAAGTTAAGGAATTTCTGTGCCTTTATTTGCTGTTCTAAAAGAACACATTTTGATTTGCTAATTCTCTATGGCTCTGCAAATCCTTTATTGGAATAACATTGGTTTCACTACTGTGTTTTGCTGTAATTTGTATTGCATAATAGAGTATTAGGATTTATGTGTTGATATTTGTGCATACAAATGCTTCAGCCTGTGCATGCGACCTTTGAATACTTTCTAAGGTTTGGAACTGAATTTTGGATATTGATCATTCTCTTTGGCCCGAACTCCCCTGGGACTATTTGCAAGATGTTAAATTGAAAAATAGGGTGTGGAGGGTTACAACACTGACAAAATTAAAGTGCTTCTTAATACGCCAAGAGGTATGCTATGTCCCTTATATGTATTGTATTTTTAAAATTTTCACAAGAACTAAGTGAGATGCAAAGATTACAATGCTCATTTCATAGATGAGGAAACTGAGATTCAGAGATGTTAGACAACTTGCTCTCAAGGCAGCCTATAATGAATTAGGTTTAAAACCCAGGTTTGCCCAGCTCAATATCCTTTTCACACATGCATACACTGACAAACAAAGTTAGATATAGCTTACTTTTTCAAGATTATATAGGGATAATAATGCATTATTGAGGCTTGGCCTCACCTGATGATATGTTTATTGATTTTTAGAGAGATGAAGGGTGAGAGAGAGAGAAGGAGAGAGAGACAGACAGACACACAGAGAGAAATCAATGTGAGAGAGAAACATCGAACGGCTGCCTCCCTATGATCCCCTACCAGGGATCAAACCTGCAACCTAGGTATATGCCCTGACCATGAATCGAACTCGGAACCTTTTGGTGTATGGGATGATGTTCCAAAAAACTGAGCCACCAGCCAGGCTAGAGTAGATAAGCATTTTAAAAAACATATTTAAGAAAATGATATAAACTCAGGCCCATTATTTTTCCTGCATTAGTATTCAAATAAAAGCTAGCCTTCTAATTGATGTTGGATTTCACTGTGTCTTTGTATGTCTCACTATTGTTGTTATTACTATTGTTATTATTACAAGGAAAATATAGTAGATATTTTCAA